AAATCTAGGTATAGATTACGGCGACGTTGTGCCCTACACGGCCCGACGAGCACAGGTGCTGATCGCCACGAGACCACCCTGTTGGCGCCTTTTGCTAAATGGAACCTCTCTCTCTCTCTCTCTCTCTCTCTCTCTCTCTCTCTCTCTCTCTCTCTCTCTCTCTCTCTCTTGTGTTAGCGCTTAGTCTCATTGATTTGGCTACCTTAGGGCTGCGTTCCCCGCGCCCACGCGGTAGACAATGCTATCCTCCCACTTGGCTTCGACTTTTCCCCCTCGCAAGGCGCTCGGGCATCCATCTGTCGGGCCTGATACACCGCTTGATCGATCTCCGTGGCGTACGGTGTTCGCAGCCCTTAGGCTGCGGTATAGTGGGCTTCCGCCTCTGTGTCAAGGTGGCGCATTTTTTGCCGCTTGCGACCAGGACGCAAAGTGGGTTCTTATGGGGCAAAAAAATTTGGGGGACCGGTCCTTGGCAAAACTGCGGACTACCTACAGCTAGCTCTGCTAGAACCGGGACTTTTGGAAAAACGAAGGACCGGTCCTTGGATAGAAGTGGACCCCAAAACGAAGTGGGGGGCATTGGACCGGTCCTCGAGTAGAAGCGGACCCCAAAAAGAAGTGAGGGCATGTGAACTGCAAAAGGGCCCTTAGGCCCAAGCGTTGAGCCCCGTCTTCTCAAAACAGGGAGGTCAGGCACAACAAAATAGGCGTTTTGCAAGAGGCAACTTTGACGATTTTCTGTGCTCAGACGAACATGCAAAAAAATTTGAAATTTTGAGAATCCATAGATGAGGTCGTGTTCTTTCCATAAATAATAATAGAACATTTACAAAAAGTAATTTAGATTGCGAAATAATCATCGCACAGATTCAACACATTTTCCATTTTTGCCACTCAGCCATGCTTGGGCCAACTAAAAAAGTACTTCAAATTCAGTGAGTTTTCGCGCTCAAAATAATGCGTGAAAAAACCTGAAAATTTGAGTACTCGTAGATTTTCTTGTGATCTTTCCAGGAAAAATGCTACATAAATTTAAAAGAATTATTCCAACTGGGAAATAGATTGCGGCCGCAATGTGAACCATATTTCAATTTTGCCATTCAGCCTCTCTCTCTCTCTCTCTCTCTCTCTCTCTCTCTCTCTCTCTCTCTCTCTCTCTCTCT